CTATGTCTAATTCTCATTAAAACCTATAAAAAACAAACCGCTCTTGTAACCAGTTTTCATTTTTCTTCCCTGAAAATGTGCCATTTCATTGCTGCTTAATAAAGACAGCTTGCTGATGTGTTTAAGGTCTGCTCCTGTTTTGGTTATTTTTGCTTACAACTTCCACTATATACTATTAGTGGGCATAGTCAGGCTGGCCCTGATTCAAGAGAGGGGTGGAATCCCCACCTCAGAGGAAGAGTATCAGGGAATTTGGGCTACTTTTTAAATCATCAGAGGCTAGTGAGTGTTTTTCTAGATTGAAAGCAGGAGGACAGGAGAATTTTGGAGAAGCCTGGATTCTATCATTATAACCATTCACACACAGACCCCACATTTAGGCTCCAAGAATAACCCCAAACACTTTTCTGTAGTTCCCTGTAGCCTGCCATGTTGGAATGCAACAACCTGGTTAGACATATGTTACCCAGCTTGACAAGGATCACAGGTCCCTCAAAAGGATGCCATCCTATATTTTTCAGCACTGGGAGAAGCCTGTGGGGAGGGATGCAGAGGAGCTGAGCCTAGCCAAGTATGAAGTAGGAGAGAACAATTTTTATTGCCTTTGTACCTGATCTTTCCAACCCCTACTGCTATCTGATTCTAATTTGCATGATCTCACAGAAGTTCAGAACATGGGACCCTGGTGACTTCTGCCTGCTGAATGTACAACTCTGGTAATCTGTAGACCTTGTCACTCAAACCACATAGTCTGGACCCATTCCCCATCTTTAGCTGGGAAGTTCCAGAATGAGTGAAGTCTTCAGAGAATGGGTTTGTGAGAATATGGGGGACTGTGTGGAAGACTAAGAATGAGCAACGATGGGACTGCTGCCACCTATCTGCACACTAGCAGTAAGCACTGAATGTACATGAGGACCATGCTTTCATCTTGCCAGATCCATTGGTGGCATGGCAGGTTGACATCAGACTTTAAATAGAAAAGCAAGAAAGGAGTAATGCATATGGAAAGGGTGGGAAAAATGTTAAAATCAGAGCTTTAAAAAAATAATTAAAAAACCTGCTCCTAAGAATGAAGTTCCAATGGGTTAGTCAGATTAAAAAGTGGGGGATCTTGATGTCAAGGAAGAGGGCCTCACAGAACACAGAGAAGTATACAGTCAGCACCTGCTCACCCTAGCCACTTGCAGAAGTACCCTTGGAGCCAGACAGATGGGGCCATCTCTCAGGACTCTCTCCCTTCTGGGTTGCATAGGGTGCTGTCAGTCCATTTGTCCCTGAGTATGACTGTCCCTAGAGCCAGCTCCATGCTCTTTGCAACTTCCCTCATAGAATGAGCCTTGTGAAAGGCCATGGCCTGGCTTATTGCACTGATATTTCCCATAGGCCCAATTGTGCAACAAGAAATAAAAACACAAGTATAGAATTGTAACACTTCAGGAAGTTTATGTTACATATTACTATTGAGGGCTCCAAGACAGAGCTCAGGGTTCCTCCTATTGGGTGGGTAACTCTGTCTATTCAGCCTGCTGAGACTCCATCACATCTTGTTTATCCATTCGCCCATTGAGGGACAGTTGGGCTGCTTCCACCTTTCAGTTATTGCAGGTAATTCTGCTATGAACATGGCTGTTCACAAGGCTGATTCTCCTTAGCTATGATGTATTCAGGTGGTAGACAAATGCCACGAGCTGTGTTTTAGAAGATGATCAAAGGGAAAATGGACAAACCATGACATTTCCCTCCTGTCAGGATGGAAGTGAAAGAGGAGCACAAGAGAATAAGTGCATTGGCACTTGAACAACTTTCTTCAAAAAATTTCTCATTTCTAACCTGACACCTCTTAAACCTTTGGTTGGTTTACAGCTAAGCATTACAGAAAGTTTTCAGTCTCTTCCTTTGAAAATTCTGCATAGATAGTTCTGTCAATCATCTCCAAACTTGGTCTTCATCATTTCCCTTTTTCCTGGGACATGCATCCTGTTCCATGTGTGGAGAAGTGGAGGCTATTCCTGCCCTGTCCCTTCAAACCTGGGATGGCCCTGTGGTTCACAGTGACTAATTGGACATGATGATGCTATGACATTGATAGGGCTATTCCTTATGTGACCTGGTCTATTCAGCTCTCTTTCCAGGGGCACTCAGCAGCCATATAAGAAGACTGTCAACCTTGACCACCATACTGCAACAAAGTCAAAGATAGCCATGTGGAGAACATAGGCAAAGGTGAATTGAGGAATCAAATAGACAGAAGAATCAAACTCTGGTCAGATGACCCAGTGGAGCCATCTCATCCATCCCCCTGTTGTGTGGCATTCCAGCTGAGACCCTACATATCCATGGAGACAAGCTATTTCCTCTGTGCCTTATACAAATTTGCAAGCCACAGAAATTTTGAGGAAATAAGAATTGTTTTACACTGTTAAGTTTTGGTCTGTCTTGTTATGCAGCAATAGATAACCTGAAGCAGTGGTCTAGCACTTCAGTTTAAATGGAGGTATAGTCAGTGTTTACTGTCTTATTGTTATTTTTTTAATTTCAGGAGAAAATAAGACAAAGTGGTATTTTAACATCCTAGTATATATATTTCAAAATAGTCTGAGAAAATGTAGATGTGATGCTTTGTTAAAATTTAACAGTTTCTCTTAAAATATACTATCATCAGGTAGAAGCCTTTAAAAGCAAAATTCTTACAATCAACAATGACATTTCAGGGCCCAAGGCAAGAGTACAAATAGAGACACACACATTCCACATGTCTAGATACTTAAAGGCTATAAATCAAATTAACAATCCATTAAATAGAATGAAATATGTTCTAGCTTGTTTTGCAAGAAGAAACAAAAAGAAAACTTCATAATAATCTCAAAGTCCAAGTTCAATGTTAGGATTCTCAACCCTTGGGAATTCTATGAGGAATACAGTAGTATTGAGAGAGCTGGACCTGGTTTCTGGCCTTTGTTCCATAGCTTGCTCCTTTGTCCTCTCATTTATTGTCACATTCATGTGGACATCCCAGAACACACACCCAACTTTACTCACCCACCCAACCAGGAGTGTGATCCAGTGTATCATGTAGGTGGGAACTTTTTATTTTGGGGAGAGAAGCAAAACTGGAGACAAGAGCCAGTATTTATCCTGTTAAATGAGAGGACTACATAAGAGTCTGGCAAATTGCAAAGACTGAAGAAAAGTCCCACAGGATTCTCCTTCAGATAACACAAATTCAGCTGTACCTGGGACCATGAACTTTTGAGGAATAAACATATCCAAACCATAGCAAGTTATTCTGCAGTCCTTGATGGACAGACCACTTCTGGAGGACTCTGCCTAGCATTTGGTTTCATATTTTAACCATCAGGGTCAGAGGGGGGGTAGTTCAAATGATGATGATTCTGGAAATTACATCATTTAGAATTGATGGAAGAAACTCAGAGTTTTCAGTCTGAAAAGAGGTTTGGAGGAGACTTGCTAGATGTCTTCTAAAATTTGAGGGCCATCATGGAGAAAAGTTATACATTTATTCTATGATGCTCTAGGGATGAGATTAGGATGCATGAAGGGAAATTACAGGAAGGGATTCAACTCAATACAGGAAAGACTTTTCCAAAATTAATGCCTTATATAGTAGTTAGCTTCCCATGCCTGGAAATGTCCACCCAGGAATATTACATAGAAGCTTTTTTGAATGCAGGGAGATACAATATCTGAACACAATGGACAATCCCTAATGGTGGAAATTTTAAGCACCACAGCAGACTGCAATCCTCATCAAATTAGACCATGAAGGCAGCTGTCTACTTCCTCACCAGTAACTAAGCGATGGCTCTGGTCCCAGAATTAGATTACTTTCCCCCTTTAGTTTTGAAGGTTTGTAATAAATCAATAGCTCTGTGAGCCTGGACTGAGGTTCTGGCTTTTCACATTGGCAACAACAGCCTCTCATTTGACTGTAGTGCAATTGGAATAAAATTAACTCACTTTCCATATGGTCAGGTGTGCACAAAGTCCACGTCCTTTATTCACTTTTCCTGAATTGTGATTCTTTGTATGTCTCAAACATCTGCACTGCTCAAGGTCTCCCATTTATAGTTGATGAGATGTTGAGATGGCCCAGGGGCTGACTTCTTATACTCATTCTTCCATAAAGCTCCCAGCGGCTGTAAAAACTGGCTATTTTCTAGAAATTGTACCTCTATTATTTTTCATATATACACTGTGACACCTGCAAAGATATATCTGTGCTGACCCTGTAAAAGTTTGCCTTGGCTTTTTCTTTTCACTACAAAGAGTACATTTGATGAAAATCAGATGGAGTTTGAGGTCATAAGTGGTAGTTTGCCAATGGAGTTGGCCTCAAGGGATGGGAAAATAACAATAGATGCACATGTCTTCAGTCTAAGACACTAATTATTGTGAAATGGACATTTTCTGAGGCAATATGAAAATTTACAAATTTACATAAACTTAAAGAATGCTCTTGAGTATTTTGGAGTCTGTAGAGGTGGATAAAAAAAATTCTCAAATAGTTACAAGACTGACTTTCCTGAGATTGTGATTGGATTTCTCTGTATATTTACCCATGTCATGATGGCTCAGATGGACATATGCTACAGCAAATGCTCAAAGATGATCATGAAAAAAAATAATAGTGGATGATCATGTTGATGATTCTGTTTCCAGCCTCAGAGCATGCTTTCTTCATTAGCTAATATCAGTGCATCACAATGAAGCTTATTGTGTTTGGCAACACAATAAATTATAATTGCATTTACTTTCATTCCCCCATCAACTTTTTTTTTCTACATTTAAAATGGCTTTTCAAAGTTTTCAGAATTTCTAACAGTCTGAGAAAAGTAAAGAAACTTCTAGATGCCATATGCAGTGTTTTACCTTATTGATGAGCTGTGGGTAGGTACTAATCAGAAAGGATACTTAATATTCTCAAAAATCAATCAAGAATTTACCCCATACCTTTGCCCCCATCTTTTTCCTTTAAGCCCTTATAGGGAGAAGAATGACAGCATTAAATTGCCTTTGGAAGTTGTGACAGGGCATGAAAACATCCAGCTCTCTGCAAGCACAGTCCAGCTGCATGCAGATGCATGTGCGTACACAGGTGTGTACCTGTGAAAGCCAGAGGTATGTGTAGGTGGACTGGGTAGCTCTATTCTGGCAGTAAAAATTGGCCAAATACAAGTATTCTTGGCTCCAGACTCTGAATTTAGAACTAAAAAGGGACTTAGAAATAATCTGCTGGGGAGTTTGAAAAAACCTCTACCATTGCTTGGGCTGTAAACCAGACCATTTAAATAGGAATTTCTGGGGGAAGGGCCCAGACATCTGTATTTTCTAAACTTCACTGGTAATTATGATGTACATTAAGATCAAAGAACCACTGATCCTGGTCCAATTCCATTATCTTACATACCAAGGTCACACAGTTAACTAGGACCAGAATTGAAGGTAGAATCCTTAGGTATGTTCTGAATTGAATTTTGGTTAAAAATCCCTTAATCAAAATGCTTAGACCAGAGTGTTTTAGACTTAGGATTTTTTTCCTTGAGTTTTGAAACATTTTCATATATATAATGAGATACCTTGAGGAGGGGATTCAAGCGAAAACAACAAATTCATTCATGTTTCCTATACACTTACACACATAGCCTGAAGTTAATTTTACATAATATTCGAGTGTACCTACATTTTAGCTATAACCCATACATGAGGACAGGTGTGGAACTTTCCACTGTGGCATCATGTCAGTGCTCAAAATGTTTTAGATTTTAGAGAATTGCATATTTCAGATTAGCCTTTCTACTATTACATATTTACTTTTTTTTTTTTTGGTTATTTTACTTCTCCTATCATAATCTGTGCCCTCAAAGTTCCTCCCCTTCTTGTTGCCCTTTAGTGTTTAGGAGTAACTCATTCAAAGTAATTGTGATTGGTGTGTGTTTACTAATAATGACTCCAAATATTTTCCTTCTCAGGTGGTATGCCTGTGAACACAATTCAAAGCTTGTGAAGTCACTTCATCTTTTTGGAATTTCAGTTTTATCATCTGTCAACAGAGTTTGAGGTTCAAGAATACAGTTCCCACAAAGACACTGTAAGTATTAGCCAAAAGGCAGAGAAGGAATTCTCATTTGAGGCAGATACCTTCTGTAAATCCTTGAAATCACACAGTTGGCCATGCAGGATTTGATGTGGACTGGCCCTGGAGTGTGCTCAGTCTACAGCATGGATTTAGTATCTATTCTCTGCCACTGAGGAAGGTACATATGTATAGGTCCTGTCTTCAAGGACTCAGGCCATCCATCCTTCATGCTCTTCTACCAAAAAAAAATGTTCTTTCATGCTTTTGTAGGAATGCATGGGTTAGCTCTGAGCCATCACAGTGGAAAAAAAATTAGCTGAAAAATTTTTTCCTAAAGAAGAAAAATTGGTAATGATTATGCCAGAAAGAGAGAAAGAGAGAGAGAGAAAAGAGAGAAAGAGAATGAAAATTTAGAAGATGTATATAGTGTAAATCTATGAAGAGCTAAAAGATTCTTTAAATGCTTTGACTTTAAATATAGTTGTACAACTTAATATTTTCTATAAGAATGTTTTATTTTTATAATAAGAAAACATAAACTGTTCTTTTGAAAGAGTTGGATCAATATTGGAGGTTTGTGGGGTTAGAGAATGAAAATCCAGGCTGCCTAGCTGGCCAGACCCCAGCCCACTTCTGTGATGTTAACATTTTAGCAGCAGGTATTCATTCTTTTCACTTGAACTTGCTTGTTGAAAGTACAGCTGCTCTTGGAAAGGAAATATGTCAACCTTATTAAGAGTTCATGCCTTAGTTTGGCAGAAGTTGTAAGATTCCTCCTGGGGAGCAATTTTGGTAGGTGGAAGGTGATAATTGGAAGAACCTGCTGCAGAAGCAGAAGGACAGAGCCAGGCTAGGATGGGGACTCTCAGAGTCACTGGGTTCTACTGCTCAGGTCTGGTTCACTTATATTTTCTCAGTCTCCATGAATTGTAACAATTGTTTGTAGACTTTGTAAACTCGCCTGCTCATGGCATGAGAAAGTACGGTGAAGGGTCGCCTCAGAGCAGCCCACTGACCCCCAGAAGATGGTGGGAGACTGTTGTCTGCCTGATAGAATGAGCTAGAGCTAGAGAAACAACAGGGTAACTTTCTTCTTCTCTGGATGAATATAGGTTGTTCTATCTGTAGAAATAATTGGGAACATGAGATGTAGAGTAAGAGAATATGGCTCAAGGGTTATCTCAGTGCATAAGAAGTACATTCAATAAATATTTATTGCAACTGCACTTAATATATGTGCATGTCCCCAAAAAAGCCGATGCTCCTTCCTCAAGCAGTTTGCATTTTAGCACAGGAGGTAGACAGACAACAGACCTAACAAATAAGGAAATGATATGAAATGCTAAAAGGTGCCAAGTGCTATGGAAAGGCATCAGGGAAGGGGATCAGGAGGAGGGGAAGAAATAGACTCAGGCTCTAGGGGAGAAGTCCCTCCCTTAGTTTCCAATCCAGGTTTGGAGGAGAATGAGAGGCAGCCAGTGGGTCTTTGGAGGAGGGCAAACTCCTCCAAGTGGGAGAAGGGGGTTAGTAGCAAAACAGGGTTGGAAATGACCAGATCAGGAGTTTCTTTCTCTTGTGGACCAGTGAGCAGAAGAAAAAGGTTGACACCCTTCTGGGGCTGGATGACCTAATAAGGCTTCTTCCATCTTGCCTACTTAGAGTCTGGCCTGAGAGAGGACTCCCTGTTCTCCCTGGCAGGCACTGCAAAGCCCACAGTGTTTAGGATTTCTGAGCACCACTGAGTGTTCCAGCCAAAGACTCCATGTGACCTTGCTCTGAGCATGGGGGAGAGGTGCTTGAGGGTGGAGGACACAGGGTACAGAGAAGAAGGGGGAGGGTACAAGGCAGAGCAAGTCAGAAGGAGAAGAGAGGGGGAGTGTGTAGGGGGGTGTGCAGGGAGAAAGGGGTGCAGTAGGGAGAAGTGTGGAAGCAAGTTTCCCATTTCAGTCCCTGGCACTAGATTATCAGCTGAGACAAGGCAAACAGGAGGGTAGGGGGAGGGATAAGAAAAAATTCTGGGGCTCCTTCTGTATATGCTCAGCATTTCTAAAGTAATTTAAGCTAAGAGAAAAGTACTTGAAAAGGTGAAGAAAATGAAAGACAGACGATTGAAGCAGGGATATTTGGGTATTTCTGTAATGTTTTCCTTTTAGTCAAAGCATTTATACTTCCAGGAACCCAGCAGCCCAGCAGCAGGGGTGGAGACTCATCAGGTCACACTTCTTTCCTTGCCTCAGAAGATAACAGAGAGAAGGGCTCCTCCACCTGGGCAGAGGAGAACTGGCCTGTCTCTCCTGTCTTGTAGGCTCTTAGAATGCTGAAGCCCGGAGGGAGCTCTTCCTGATCCTCAATCCCTGCTCTCCATTATGGCCTGGGTTGGGGCCTGGCTGAATGGCTCACAGGGTGAACCCAGGCCTCTGGTCTGTCAAAGCCCAGTCGTCACCAGTTTGACTTGCCATTTTTTGTGAGCTGTGTGTCTGAGCTGCTTCCTATAAATCAAAGACTGAAAGGCTTTATGCTTGGTTTTGTTTCATTTTACTACTGAAGAATACATTTTGAAGAATAAAGGTTTTTTGAGAGGTAGGAAGTCAAGGCCAGTGAGAGCTTTGATTCCTGTGGTGTCTCTACATCTAAACTAGGACAGGGAATATGTGTGTTGGGGGCATTCGATCCTGGAGTTCAGACTTTATATTAAAGCTAACTTAATCATAAACTGTACATTTGGTGAGTAACCCAGGGGTGATCGTTAGCATGTATCCTCTTGCCCAATAGCTGCCCAAAGTCCTCTGGGCCAGGAGAGAGGCATTTTTTTTTTCATGCACTTGTCCTAGGCAGGTGTTTTTCAGTGCAGTGTGTTAATAAGCAGGTTTAGGTTGGTGATGGGCCACAGAGAGAACAGGACTCTTGAATCAGGATACTCATACTGGCCCCAGGTTGATCGTTAACTTGCCCCATGAACCTGGGTGAGTCCCTTTGCTTCCCAGGTTCTTTGTTTATAATCATTGCAATGAGGGAGTTAGGTTATACCAGCATTTCTGGAACTGTGCTGGGTGGGGACCAGAATATCCCTGAGAAGCTTGAGACCAGAGGCAGATGGAAGGTAAATGAGAGAAAGGTCTGACTTGGTTAATAGCATGGCCAGCTTTTCAATAGAATACTATATACTATAATGTGCTGTACTATAATTACTATGCTGTACTATATGACACTCTACTATATAATACTATAATGTACTACATTATACCATAGGATCCTATATTATACTGTATGATACTATACTATACTATACATGCTAGATTATACTGTTACTATAATATGTTATATGATACTCTATAATATTATATGATGTTATAACATATTATATGATACTATACTTTATGATACTATACCATTCCATAGGATGCTATATTATACTATATAATAGGATATTATTCTATACTATATTCTATACCATAGAATACTACATTATAGTATACTGTGATACTATATTATACCACAAGATGCTGTATTAGTTATCATAGTATGCTATACTATATGATGCTATGCTATACCATGATACTATACTATATACTATATGCTACCATATATTCTACTGTAACTATTCTATAATATAATGGACTTCAGGCTAAGCTCATATTGTAAAGAAGGGTTCCACTGCTTAAAAAGTTTGATGACCCCTATATCAAGTGACTTCTGGGGCTCCTCTTACCATCATGATCTGTGATTCTATTATTCATTAAACAGTTCTACGAGAGAAGATGGGCAGTGTTGACTTTGCTTATTTAGAAGCCTAGAAAAAAAATGCCAAGAATTCACAGTCAGAAAAACACACTTCATCTCCTCATTTATCCAGAGAGCAGAACAAACTCACTTGACAGATGGTACAGGTCTAATAACATCCAGGTTGAAGAAACCATTTCTAGGGTTCAAGGATATTTCTACCTGGTTCCATGCTCATGGTTACTGGGACATATCTAAAAAATAGGTGAAGCCAGAGCCAGCTGTGGCCTTGTAGGCAGAACTCCAGAAAACCTCTGAGAGCCACTGGCTTTTGTCCTCAGTGGATACAATATTTGTATTTCTCAATGTTTACGAGAAAACTTAAGACCTGTGACATGTGGTAACATGGAAAAATCACACCATACTATAAGTAAGGCTACAAAATTCAATCTCATGGAAGGAGGAGCTGCATGATTGGAGATTAAATGAAATGACCAAGTTGAGCCTGTGCAGCTGGTTGAGGGAAGATGATGGGGCCCAGCCATCTGGACCAGGTCCCCTTCAGGCCAGCTGCTTTGTAGGACCAATAAATATGTCACCTTCCTCCCCTGGCCTTCTGTCTGAAACAGATGGGGCTGAGGATGTATCTCATTGGCCAATCACATTATATTAAAATTACATTCCTTAGAGACTTTACTATTTGACCTTCGTAAAGAAAAATCTGAATTTCAAGCTAGAAGGTTCATGTGTAGGAGAAAGGTGCTTAGATGGTTTAGCATTTGCATCTCATGGTGGCTTTATGGTCCCTTACTTCACTCCACAAATATTTATTACAAGTTTACCATGTGCTTGGCACTGTTCTAAGAACTTGGGTTATATCAGGGAGCAAAAGAGATGAAGACAGCTGCCTTGGAGGAGGTATGTTCTGTGGGCCACAGCCTTGTCCCTTGCTCCTGTCCCCATGAGGGAGTGTGTGCCTTGGATGTCTGGGGCCAAATTACAGCTTGGAGGTTTCAGCTTGGGCACTGGTGGGAGACACTGTTTGGAGCCTTCATTCTCTCCTCAGGCGGGTCCTGTCTCCTTGTCATGTCTGTTTCCTCCTCATTAAAGGGGACAGTAATGGAACTTTCCTCACAGGGCTGCTGAGGATTAAAGGAGGTCACCCACTCGGGTGCTTGGCACGCTGCCTGGCACAGCGAGTGGGAGGCCCATTGCTGCTAGTCCTCAGCCTTCGTTGCACAGTGGCTCTCCTGCTGTTTGTTCTCTGTTTGGTTGCCATGGGTATTG